ATTGAAAATTCAGTTATTTCATGATCTTTTGCTATTTTCGATAAATTGTCATCTCCCTTTTCCTGGTATAATATGTTTCTATTTTTTCATAATAAACATTTTTGTAGGACTCTTTATTACTTCATAATACTAGGAACCCATACACCAAATGTTGAGACCCAAATCCCATGGGAAATTTACCCACGCTTCGACTGAAAAATTCGGTTATTTCATGATTTTTGCTATTTTCGATAAATTGCCATCTCCATTTTCCTGGTATAAAATGGTAGATGTCTTTTCATAATAAATATTTTTGAATGACTCTTTATTACTTCATAATACTTAGGAACCCATACATCAAATTTTGAGACCCAAATCCCAAGGGAAATTTACCCACGCTTCGACTGAAAAATTGGGTTATTTCATATACAATACAATACATCTCTATTTTCCTGGTATTATATGTTTCTATTTTTTATAATAAATATTTTGGGAGGACTCTTTATTACTTCATAATACGAGGAACCCATGCCCCAAATATGCACCAAACTTTGAGACCCTGGCCCCATGAGAAATTAATTCATGCTTCCACCAAAAAATTGTGATTTTCTGCGAATTTTCTCCTATTTTCAATAGGTCAACATTAATCTTATATTTAGTTTTTAAACATTTTAGGAGGACATTAATACGTTCTTAATACTAGGAACCCATACATTTAATATGTACCAAATGTTTAGACCTGAACCCCATGGGAAATTCACGTTTGCTTTGATCATATACTTTTAATTTTTGTCGTTTAGAGCACCATATCATTGTTGTGTGATGTGCAATTTGTAATAAATTGTATTACACGTTGTCTTAATTATCCTGTTTGGCCTTACATGCGTTACATCGTGAAAGATGGTTATATAGTACTTTAAGGTAATTCCTTATTTTCAGTTTTAATGGCTTCCTAATTGGAGCCCCGTGTTTTTTCAGGAACACATAACTCATTCCATTCAGATGCACAAACAGTGTATAAACATAGCACATAGTACATTATAGAAAATTACTAACCATCAACTAATAATCTAAATACATATTTGAACTCAGTGTAAAATTGAAAGAGCTGACCAAGTATGGAATGAGTTCCAGAAATAACATTGGACTCCACTTAAAATTTCTGAACATACAGAATTACCTTAAGTGTTTCTCATTGCTCTTCCTATCTTCTACATTGTGTACTTTCAGGGCATGAACATTTTCAGAGAAATGACAAAGCTCAGTGGAAGCTCGAATCCCTTGACGATTTGGTACAGGCTTACTGGTTAAAACAGAGACCATGCCATTGATACATTGATCAATCAAAAAATCATTTCTCCAAAGAAAATCAGATTTGATATTTGACCTTACCCTGCAAAGATGTGAGAAAGAATATGACATCTCACACAAATCCAAACAAAGTCCTGTGATGTATCCCTACTGAAACCAACAAGCCAAATCTTCAAGGCATTTGAGTTGCTGTCGAGTCATCACTTCTTAATATTAACCACAGTATATAAATGTACAAGTAAAAGATCCTAAATTTTCCCCAAACTACTGAATTTGTCTCCTTTCAATAAGACTTAAAGTCTTGATATTTAGGTGTTTCTTTGGATTAAGAAGGAATTGCCATAATGTTTATTAACATATTATGCCCCTAAAACAGACATCATAAGCTATCATAAGCACCAGTTTTCAGTCAAAGAATACGTCACGTTCTCATTGGATTTGGGTCTCAAAATTTGGTGGATATTTGGTGTATGGGTTTTTAGTATTATGAACGTAATAAAGAGTCCTCAAAAATGTTTATTATAAAAACATATCGTACCAGGAAAATGGAGACAGCAATAATTGAAAATCGGAAAAAATGTGAAAATCACAATTTTTCAGTCAAACCATGGGTAAATTTCCCATGGGATTTGGGTCTCAAAATTTGGTGTATGGGTTCCTAGTATTATGAAGTAATAAAGAGTCATCCAAAAATATTCATTATGAAAAATAGAAACATATTATACCAGGAAAATGGAGACAGTAATCTATTGAAAATCGGACAAAACTGTGAAAATCACAATTTTTCAGTCAAAGCATGGGTAAATTTCACATGGGATTTGGGTCTCAAAATTTGGTGTTTGGGCTCCTAGTATTATTAAGTTATAAAGAGTCCTACAAAAATGTTTATTATGAAAAAATAGAAACATTTTATACCAGGAAAAAGGAGATGGCAATTTATCGAAAATAGCAAAAAATCATGAAATAACTGAATTTTTCAGTCGAAGCGTGGGTAAATTTCCCATGGGATTTGGGTCTCAAAATTTGGTGTGCAGGTGTTTTAGGTCATGGACAACAGTAAGTCAAATGAGGAAGATAATCCGAAAGAAAGTTGGTTTTTCGCCATATTTTGGACCACCCTAATATCCATGCGCCATAATGACAATGAATGAGTTTTACTACGATCAAATAATTTTTACTACGATGTGATGTTTTTGTTTTTTCTGATTTATTTTAGTATACTGTAATAAATGAGCTTGATAAGTAGAATAAGGTGCTTTTTTTGCTTTAAGAGTTATTTTCATTGGCCAGCTAAATCTCTCAATGACCAGCAAGTTTTGGAGTGCTGCTGGTCATTGTGACCAGCTGATTTTATAGTTGACCACCTCGAATTTTAATACTGCTGGTCATGATGACCAGCAGGGAAATTTGGCTTAAGGCGTGCCCTGAATCCTACACAAGATTAACTAGCATCTTATGGCAATGTCCTCATTATATTATTGTGTGTGGAACAACATTAAAATTGTTTTTAAAGAAAACATTTAATTCTAGTATAATCCTATACCAGATTAACTAGCATCTTATGGCAATGTCCTCATTATATGATTGTGTGTGGAACAACATTAAAATTGTTTTTAAAGAGTACATTTGATTCCAGTGTAATCCAACACCAACACCAGATTAACTAGCATCTTATGGCAATGTCCTCATTATATTATTGTGTGTGGAACAACATTAAAATTGTTTTTAAAGAAAACATTTAATTCTAGTATAATCCTATACCAGATTAACTAGCATCTTATGGCAATGTCCTCATTATATGATTGTGTGTGGAACAACATTAAAATTGTTTTTAAAGAGTACATTTGATTCCAGTGTAATCCAACACCAACACCAGATTAACTAGCATCTTATGGCAATGTCCTCATTATATTATTGTGTGTGGAACAACATTAAAATTGTTTTTAAAGAAAACATTTAATTCTAGTATAATCCTATACCAGATTTACTAGCATCTTATGGCAATGTCCTCATTATATTATTGTGTGTGGAACAACATTAAAATTGTTTTTAAATAAAACATTTAATTCTAGTGTAATACTATACCAGATTAACTAGCATCTTATGGCAATGTCCTCATTAAATTATTGTGTGTGGAACAGCATTAAAATTGTTTTTAAAGAAAACATTTATTCCAGTGTAATCCTATACCAGATTAACTAGCATCTTATGGCAATGTTCTTATTATATTATTGTGTGTGGAACAACATTAAAATTGTTTTTAAAGAGTACATTTATTCCAGTGTAATCTTATACCAGATTAACTAGCATCTTATGATAATGTCCTCATTATATCATTGTGTGTGGAACAACATTAAAATTGTTTTTAAAGAAAACATTTAATTCCAGTGTAATCCTACACCAGATTAACTAGCATCTTATGGCAATGTCCTCATTAAATTATTGTGTGTGGAACAGCATTAAAATTGTTTTTAAAGAAAAGGTTTAATTCAAGTGTAATCCAAAACCAGATTAACTAGCATCTTATGATAATGTTCGTCATTAATATGGTGTGAGGAACAACATTAAAATTTAAAATAAACAAAGCAGTGATAAGCAATTTACATGAAAAGTGCAAAATGAACTCAAAATGCAACAATTATCAAAAGTGTATTCTGTGATCTCCACAGAATTGAGCAAACTGGGCCAGTCAGCTTCAGTGTCAGTCTGTAAGCGATAGGGAGGGGGCAAAGATACTAAATAAAAGAGACCATTGCAAGAGAAAGGGGGGGGGGGGCAAAGGGTTTGATGAAATACACCATATCCTTTTCTCATGACCAAGTGCAATAGAGAGGATTTTAATTTCTTTTGAGGGGGAGGGGTGGGGGCATTGAGCAAGGGGCTTGATGAAACAAAACCATTTCAGAAAAAATCCTGGGGAGATCACTGACTAATATCAATTATGCCAACCTGGTGCTTGTGATCTATCCACAGGCAAGCCTTAATGAAACAACAAAATAACTGCATTCAAGAGTCAGTTTCAATCTCATTAAAATCAAAGGCAGGGAGTCTATCGAAAATACTCTGTGCATTTCGCCTTATCTCAATAAACCCTCAGTACATGCCATTTTTTGTTTATTCATGCATATTAAACAATAAGCTTAGCCCCCAATATATGCCCCCCCCCCCCGCCCATAAACTCATTTTATAAAATTTATGTTAAAAGGGTTAAATGTAGGATGGGACATGCAAGCTTAAATGTATAATGCACCCTTACAGAGAATTTGTATGTACCCTTTATGGAAAATATGTACCCATTATGGAAATCTATGATGATTTCCCTTGCACTTAGGCTTCATAGGGTACAGGCTATTAAGCAGACTTCATGCTTAGGCTTGTACCCGATTAGAAACCCATTTGTACCAAGTTTGAATATTTGGTCACTTAATTTTTTTCTAAATTGATGGTCATATAAACCATGTATAGACAGATATGGGAGTGGGGGAGACATTAATTTGATAAAAGACTTCTTAACAATATACATGCAAGGGAGAAAGCTCAGCAAGTGATAAAATAATACAAATCCTAGGGAACTATTTTTTGATATTATTATATCTTAAAATAGTACTAATACACTGTAACAGTTGTAAAAAGTTATACAAAACAGGCACTGATCATAAAATAGTTAAACTAGAAAATGATCAAACTCCAAAAATTATCAAATTACTCACCAAATTCTTTGGCAATGTTCTCAGCTTCAAGTGCCGATTTTGCAACTTTATACCTAGGAACGGCAACACCATTCTTTTGCAGCAACGTCATCGCCATGTGCTCGTGGATTGAAAGATGGCGCTGTTGTTGTTGCTGTGGCAACATACATTGTGAGACAGCCAAGACCTTTAACAAAAATAACAGAAATATCATAGAACAATGTAAGCGGTTATCGATTATTAGATCATTCAGTGGCTCCTATAATACTAGAAAATTTTGAACCACCATGTTTGTTTACCGATTTGGACCAATCAGGACGGTATGACATCTCAATACTAGTGGAACAAGTAAGTTTTTAAAACATTTTGCTGTTTATTCAGTATCACGAGGCTCAATTATGACCAAGAACAAAGTGAATTTGTTATAAAAAGACCGTAGAAAACAATGGTACAGGTTTCATAAGGAGTAGTATTATGATAGAAGAGATATCGGACTTTCAAAAACCGGAAGTGAAATTACGGTATATCCATTTTCTCCAAGAAGCCTGCCTCACTTTGTATTTCTTTAGGATGTATTTTCTTAGAAAAATTCTGCCATCTGTGAATTTCTTGCATAGTTTTGTAAAGTTGGCCATAAATAATGACTATATAATAATAAACAAGTCTATTCATCTGTTGATCTATTATCAGTTTTATTCCATCATGACATTCGAAACTTCTGGATAAAGGCCTTCATGGACATCAAATATCAGTATATTTAGCACTGGATCAGCAGAGGTTACAAAGGTGGTACGCATTGACGCAAGTCCCTTTACGCGCACTGTATACTACCAGTGCCATATGCGAAGAACAACGATCAATATTTCAAACTCTCCAACAATCTTTGAAGACCTGACAATACTGCGATCCTTTTGCGGTAACTTTTCATTGTTAATTCAAGCCTTGAACCCTGTTAATCGTAAATCTGTATTGATTAGTCATGTCTCAACTGTTTTATGATGTATAATTTGCAATTTATAAACCCAGAAGAATTTTTTTTCCATTTTTTTCAAAAGCCTTCCTCACTTTGAATTTATTTAGGATGTATTTCCTAATAAAAATTCTGCTAGTCTAATTAGATGGAGATACAAACTAAAACAGCAAAAAAAGATCAATGAAGGGGTACATTTATTACAATATTCTGTTCTTCAAAAGCAATAGATCAAATAAAAAAGCAATACAAGTAAGGGTTCATAGCTGGCCCAAGGCCAAAGTAAAGTCAGGACTCAGTGAGTGACTGAATTTTCTGAAAATATTCAGTTTTGAAAAAAGTTCACACTGAACATTTGCGAAGGGACTTCGCATAAATTCAGTTTGGCATACTCTATATGAAAGATATGGAACTAACAGATCTTAATAAACATAAACTACATACCCTCTGTCCTTGTTTAGATGCAATTCTGTCTAATAAACGAGCACCTCGAACGAAAGCGGCAGACGCCATATTGAATTTTATTGCTACGTCAAAAATACGAACGGGGTAGAAAATCAACACGTGTTCGGAGTTTTATAAATTGAACAGGAAAACTGGTAAAACTTTATGAAAAAGTCAAACATCAAAACCACGTGTCATCATGTTACTCTAACCTGACTTCGATAAGTTTCAAATGTGTAAATATTGCTCTAAAATGACAGGAAGTTTTCAAGCCAGAACTATATGGTTTTTGATTTGCAGGAGTCAATCGTCATCGATTGCGGGCGTCCATGATTGATCTAGATCTGTTGGGCCCCTAAACCAAAAACATGGCGTAGGATAATGGAAATAGCGTCATGGGGACAATGAATCTGAGTCCAAGTACGTCATTTATGGTCGAAAATCAAAATATTGACAAATTTATAACCTAAAAGGCCGAAAGATTATGCAGCAAATATTGAAACGGTGGTTGTCAACATATTGTACTAGCTTTGATCTCTTAGAATCCTAAGCGATTGGAGTTGTTTAGATCAGTTATCGAATGATATGAAATGATGAGGATTTGAGTTTTTTCAAACTCTATAATGGTGGCCAATGGGGGATTTTAGCAAAATGATCCCGAAAATTAATTTAATCATAAAGGCCGAAAGCCTATGGATGGATTTTGCTGATTTACATGTACATATCAAAACAAGTGACTTCGGTGGGTGTAACAAGGATCCGTTGAATCCTAAAGAAATAAATGATTTGCTAAAAAGTCAAGTTATTAAGATTTTAAGTTTTGATGAAGAGTGCTCTCCATTGAAATCTTTTGACCATAAAATGTCGATTTATACGCTTGCGTTGTGACGTTATTTCCATTATTCTACGCCATATGGGCCCAAATTTTGAAATTTTGTGGCCCAATTTCTCCAAAATTTGACCTAAAATAAATAAAATAAGGCCTTAAAGGCCCAGTAATGACAAAAAGGCCCCTGTCCATCTATGAATGAACATTTGATCAGAATAAAAGAGAACCTCTGTCACATTTAATCTAGGGCGCGCGTACGTCGACCGTACCTGATGTCGGTAAATTTCTACGGCAAACATTGTCGTATTCAGTATTTTACAGGACGTAGAGTCGCCGTATTAATTATAACTCGGAGCATGGACCTCTATACTTTAATGACTTAGTTTATGCTCGGAGAAAAAACTTTTTTCATCTTGCTTACGATTATTATAGAAGCTAAAACGCCGTAGAAAAACCGTAGAAAGTTTCCATTCTGGCATTACAGTACAGTGCAAACTTTGCTTTGCAAACAGTAGACTCGCCAAAGCTAAGGGGCCCCAAGCGAGCGCCTTGTGTCTGCCTTAGTATTTTTTTAGAAAAAACAACATGTACGTCCGCGCGCCATGGGGTGGACGCCCTATGTTGACATTACGTCGTCATTTAAAAACCCGCATGGGAACCGTACTTTTTCTGTCTCTACATAATCTAAATACGCCATACGGTTACCCTAGTAAATATGACTGATACAATATTTGACCGTATAATTTCAGAGGAAACCATAGAATTACAATGGACCCGAGAAACAATACTCATGCAGTCGTCGTAGCACATTCTAAAATCAGGATCCTCATTTTCTCAAATGGCCACGTCTAGGTTATCGCAAACAGTTTAGGACGCGGTTTATGACTATTCAGACCTTTAATTAAACGGGCATGTATTTAAAATTACAAAAGCTGAAATATCTTTTCTTGTTTTTGGCAGATACTATTTTTTACTGGACATATTTTCGTTTTGTATAATTATTGACACATACGGATTAAATAAAATTGATCCACTTAAACTGATAATATTCAAGTTTAAGGGAACTTTCTTGTATACCTGCCATGTTGATTAACCCGAATCAGCCACCTGGTGGCGAAACTGGTAACTACCTACTCTCATCTGGGTAATTATGCATTGAATATTATAATAAGATATTGCCTTTTTGAGTGGCAATAAGTACGTTGATGGGTCCATTTCCCTTTCAGTTCGATTAACTAAATAACAATATACTCCGTTCTTTGAGAGAATGGACTATCTAATGTCTGCAGGGAAAGGGGTCAAATCCCCCCTCTGATAGCAAGTCGTTTATACCCCCGTTATTTTTGTAGTTTGAATCAAAGATAAATGACACATTTTTGCATAAAGATTGAGTTGATAAGGGGAAGGGGGGGGGGCAAAGTTATGATGGTCGGATGTTGAGCCACTATTGACTAAAGGTAAAAAACAATAAATCGCGAAGTATTCATGATTTCGCTTTCTCAGAATCTGCTTGGAACTATGCCATTGGAACACCTCAAAGAGAAAATTCCAGGGATTCCAGGGATTGAGAAATTAATTATTGGTATACATGAAAATATTAAAAACAGCATTTGTATTATTCAAAAGCGATATGATCAATGATTTCCAGTCCTCTGAAGTTTGAAAAATGAAAGTACCTGTTGGGTGTTATCCATAGATAAATCTTGAAAATGGGTAATATTTTTTGGGGATTTATATATATGGTGCAATCTTATAATCAATAAAATGTTTTAAAGTGTATTGATGTTTTTTTAGAAAAAAGCATAAGCGAAATGCTTGAACAAACTTCTACAAACAACACCCCCTCCTTTGAGGTCAGATGTGAGCTCCTGAGAAGTGAAAAGTTTGTTCAATTTGAAGCAAGTTGAAATCAGTTCTGAAAAAAAACAATTGGCCGAGTTCAGGTGTGAATGTTTTGACTGTCTCCTGGTTTTAAAGACCGAAAGACTCATGGGTATGGGAGTCCCGGACTTTAAAGAGGAGAAGTCCATTGGTGATTATAGTCCACTGTCTCACTAATATAAAATGGTAGGAATGAAAGTCCGATTGAGACCATAAACACTAGGATTCACATTCACAATCCATGGGATATCCAAATCTAGGAAGCACGGTCCTACGGACCTAGTATAAAGGTTTTGACTGTCTCCTGGTTTTAAAGTCCGAAAGACTCTAACTCCTGGGTATGTGAGTCCCGGATTTTAATTAAAGGAATAGAAATCCATAGGAGTCTGCAAGACCGTGCTTCCGGGGGACTTCTATTTAAAACTTTTACAACGGCCAACGAATGGGAGCAAATGTGACCTAAGCAGTATCGACAGGCACCCGGCGCTTATGCGAGCTAGACATAACATCGTGAAAATATGTTACTTAGGCTACATCAATACCTGGTTCAGAGTCTATCACACCTATTCCTTAATTCACAGATATATATGCACATTTGAATTAAATATTTGTATTATTTTTTTATTTTTATTATTTTTTTATTACTTTTTTATTCATAGAAAACATTTGAAAGCAGTTACATTAACATATACAATATTCATAATATCATAGAAATCACACAATTTTCCATCATATTCTTTTTATAAGGCATCTAACCACACTAGTCTAATCTAATCTAGTACCCATAATTTCCCACCTTTTTTCTCTGCCTATTTGCTTATCAATATTACAATAAGATATTACATTTGCTTTAAATCCTTTAAAGGTAAAGGTTATATTTTAGTCAAAAATATACATAGTCGATACATCAAATTGAAATATGAAAATAATATGAACAAATGACATCATAGAATATACAAAACTGAACTAACGATACTCATAATACAAGTTGGAAATAGCAGAGCAATATCATCTTATGCAAAAGACAATCGTGGGTATACAAAGTGTAAATTAAAAGCATATTATGTTATTTATACCAAGCTCAAAAATACAAAAGTTTCGTATAAAAAGTAATGGTTGAATGTTGATGAATTAAAATGTAGATTAGCTGATTTAGTTTAATCATAATGCATTGTACATTATAACTAGTTCTTGCTTAGACTTTTTAATTTATTTCCAAATCTTAATTTCGGATTTCCAATGTTGGCCCATTTGCTTTCTGGTGCTGCCTTCAAGCTGACCAATGGTAAATAAAAGCATATCAAATCACACCTTCAAATTAAAAAATACATGTCCTAGAACACCCAAGAACAATGCAATATGGTGTAATTGTTTTAGAATAATTTGTTTCCAAAAACATTAAAGAAATGTGATTTTCAGTCTGTAAAATTTCATCTTTTAAACTGTTGTTTTTCCTCTAATTAAATCTGCAGCCTTTTCTCCTATCATAATAGATGGCGCATTGGTGTTGCCCGACATGACAAATGGCATAATGGATGCATCGGCAACTCTCAGATTCTGAATCCCTTTCACTCTGTAACAGACACGATATCAATTAAGTCAGATACTAAATTCATACATTTGTATGGATATCAATTGGTTTGGAAAATTATTCTATCAATTATCTAATAATTAACATAATGTAACAGACATGATATCAAATAAATCAGATACTATATTCATATATTTGTATGGATATCAATTGGTTTGGAAAATTATTTCATCAATTATCTAATAATTAATATAATGTAACAGACATGATATCAAATAAGTCAGATACTATATTCATATATTTGTATGGATATCAATTGGTTTGGAAAATTATCCTGACAATTATCTAATAATTAGAAATATGTTTTTGACTAAACAAAGTAACCAACAAGACCTCATTCCTTAGTTGATTTATATTGTGAGTTGTAGTGTTTGATTCTGAACACATTAGAAATGGAAAGACGAACAGAAAAGTATGTTCATGCTGCAGAAGATTTATTAACAAACCTAAGTTGATCATCAACCACGGAAGTTTTATCAGAAGCAGGTCCCATTTTACAGGTTGAGGTTGGATGATAAAGAGTCCAAAGGTTTGCCCTTGTGTAGCAGGCCCAGTAGTCATCAGTGCCAAAGGCATATTGCTTGCATAGTGGATGGTGGTTCTTGTTCAGTTCAAACCCTCCTTTTTGAAATGCTTTGGTTTTTGGCAGTGTTTCTGTCATCACTTTTATTCCTTTGAAAATCATTTGAAATTATTAGACACTGAAAACACAAAGATTTGACAACAGGGACAAATTTTTAACCTTATAGTTCAAACTTAAAAACCATACAAAACCAGTATTAAAACTGTTTTCAATACTGAACTATTTACAAACTGCACCAACTCACAAGCGAAAAAATGTATGCACATCTGGAACAATAGTGATGTCCGCTCTCAAGTCCACTACAGTTTCAAACGGTCAACAGCCATCTAAAAAAATATCAGCCTGAGCGTATCATAGTACTATCATGATACATACCAGCAACAAGATGTTTAACATCTATGGGGTCTTCAAGGTACTTTGGATCAATCAAAGGATGGTCAAATGGATCGGCACTGCGAAGACGAATTGTTCCATTAGTAGCAGGATGAAGGAGCGTGATTATTGTACTTGTTCCTGTTTTACCAGCAAACTGTTTGTCTGGGTATAAGGCATTCCACACCTGAAATATATTACAATTAGAGCTACAATAGGAAAATAACTAAATAATACACACCAATCTGAGAGACAAACATATAAAAAACGACTTAAAATACATGTTTTACTTAATCCCTTGATCACGATTGTTGAGTTCTATTGTTCCTTTGTTTGCTTTTCTGGGAAAGTCACTTCTCATTGACAATTTTATCAGATATGACCTTCTAAGCGCACAGTGATGAACAGATTCACTGTGGGCTGTGAATTTAATATAAATTGATTATTTATGATAATCAGAATTAGACGCAAAAAAGAAAGATATATATATAACACGTATATCTTCTTGCTGCATTAACAGTGTTTTTGATATGTATTATAATTGTTCACAATTATTTATACAACTTACCTCATCAGTGTATCCAATGTTTCCTTTTTGATAATCCTCACCTTCGTCGCTCCCCCATAGATAAGTCAATGTATGAAATTGGATGTATGGGTACCTGTGGTAGTCAGGCTGGTGAGGGGACCTCATGAAGTTCATTAGGTTCAGCAAAGGATTCTTTGACATTCCTAAAATGAATTTTTGGAAACTTTTCGAGGTTTGCTCTTTGAAAAATATTCGTGTATATATCATTATACACTGTGATGAAAAAGAAGCCAAAAGCTGAATAATTGCTTTGTATCTTACAATCAACTCTTAATTTCAAGGTAGCTATTCGGAGATCTTAACAAATTGATACAAAAATGAATGAAGTTGGAAAATCATCGAGCGGATACCATGATCGATATTCCAGCCAATGCATAGGTATTACAGACTTTTAATTGGATTTAATTCCATATCTTTACCTGTTCCAAAATAGTTATATCTTGTTCTCTCCCACCATGAAAGAGCTTCATTCTCTGTTATACCATGTGCCTTAGTGAAGAATGTAATGGGATCAACTGTTGGATGATCTTGTAAGTTCTCCCCTACTGGAAGATCAGCAACTACAGGAATCTAAAAATTATATATGGATTCAGTGGCATCGTGTTATAAACTAAACCATTTGGGTAAATGTGAGTTAGCTTTTCATGTTTTCTCTAGATGAAAAATGTACTCGATGTTCAGTTTTGAAAAACTGAAATAATCAAAAATATACACCTATGGTACCCCAAACACTAGAAATTTATATTTACTCATATTTATAATTAGCCCTGTTGTCTCTTGTACTCACTTTTTGATTTTGAGAAGACTGTTACCTTATAAGCATTGCAGTAGAAGATGAAAAAGAAAGCTAAGAATATAGCATTATGTTTGAAGTATGTATGTTTTTTAATTATTTTAGTGAGTATATTTGGCTGTGTTACTTACTCCTATATCCTTAAGGTGTTGTTTTGGTCCTATTCCTGATAGCAAGAGAATGTGAGGTGATCCAATGGCACCCCCTGATAGAATAACTTCCTTTCTTGCCTTTACACTTTTCTTGACCAAGTCTCTCACATAAGACACGCCCACTGCTTTCTTTCCCTCGAGAAGTACCTTTTCAAATATGACTTCAAAATTACTTGCAGTCACCACCTTATCACATTCAAGATTATCAAAAGTGCATGAACACAAGTAAAGTTACTTGTAAAAATATACCCACTGTATTGACGATTTTTTAATGCTTTAACTCAAATTTGATTTTGAAGTTGAAATAAAATTGAATAGGTTAATGGATATTTGGCTAATAGTACTTTTAAAGACAGCAGTATTTTTACTTACATCAGAGACACTTCAACAAACTAATGGAAGATGATTCTTTAACATGTTTTAAGGTTTTCAATTGTAAATCCTAGTTGAAAGGGATAAGACAAGAAAAATATAGACATTCAATCAATGTACTCACATTTGTAACATGTGCATTTGTTGCAACATGCAGATTGTCCCTGTTCATTACTGGGTATAAGAATGCAGCAGCAGTGCTGGACCTCTCTCCACTACTGTCTATGGTAGTTTGAGCAAAGCACCATCCTACAATTGTTTCATTGATATAAGAAATGATATGTTTAACAGGACAAAACATTTTATATTTCAGGAACCTTTTTCTCTCGTGACCACAAAATACAAAGCTCTTGTTAAAAAATGCGTATTTGTCGGTAATGATGGTATTACCATTTTGATTTTTCTCATGTAGATGACTTTTCCAGCTTGCAAGTAATGTACCGAGGTATTATTAGGACGCAACAAATAAAATGCAAATTCAATGCAGGTTTTACAAATATTCTTTTCAATTCAAATTCAGCTATACATTTTGAAATGACTGTTACTAAACTAGGTTTAAGCTTTTATATTTGAAAAAGTGTACCTCTGCAATAACATGTTACCTTTGAAATTAATTTTCACAGTTTTAATCAAATTTCTGTCTTTCATTCATCTGTCATCCCTTAATTGGACTTATTTTCACAAGCTATTTAGGGTATTTAGGTTACTCATTTGCAGATTTGCAATCACATGAGATTCAATTCCAAAATCATAACCATTCTTGATTTGAAAAATATATTTGTTCATCGAAAATTACTTCTTATTGGATTTTATATTGGATTTTACTTTTTAGAATATATAAACATATATCTATATTCACCCATTTGGTCTTCTCCATTATAATCCTCTGTAGTCTTCAACCCAGCTTCAACCGCTGCATCATAAACATACTGTAGATTTTCATATCTTTCAACAGCAGACACCTGTAGAGGTCCCGAATCACCATGGTATTCTATAACATAAAAATATCATAATGTAAAGCATGATATCTGATTACAACTGATATGTGTAGAGGACCTGATGTACAGCCGTAAATTTTCAACATAGATTATAACTGTAAGTTAACATGCCAAACATTCAATTAAGTTAGCATTCATGTTGTCAAATGTAAAATAGTCAAATTAGATTGTGTTTCAAATAAACTTGCCAATGCCATTTCATACTGTAATATTGATAAGCCTTGCCAATGCCATTTCATACTGTAATATTGATAAGCCTTGCCAATGCCATTTCATGCAATGTTATTATTATATTGTAATTGCTTGTTATGATTTGTTTCTAGCCCCTCTGGCTCTGTAAAGTGAATAAATTGACGTACACCACAAATCTAGTCGTTCGGTCGTTCACTATGCAGTTTCATATCTCTCCGCAGCAGATATGTTTAAAGGCCAAGAATTATTTTAGCATGCATGTAAAACATCAACCTTTTCTACAGTAAATACGTCAAATGATAATTTAGGCATTTAAAAGTTTTTATTTTAGTGTATCACTTTCAATGTTTTGTGGTTGCCATAATTGGTTCTTATGAGATTTTAAATGACATGGAACCATTTTGGGGCTTTGTTATTTCGATGGTCCTGGACTATGAAATTACAAATTATCATATCTAAATTTGAAAGCCCATCAAAGGTTTAATTCATCCAGATTATGTATTTATATAAACTAATGTGATTCAGTTGTGTTATATCACAAAGATGTAGTTGTTAAATCACGAATGTACGGACGATCTTTGCCAATGTGTAGACCCCAACATGTGGATTAAAATGTTTTCTAGCTTTAGTTGTAAGCAATTGGTTGACCTTGACTAGGAAAAATAATCATTTCATAACATTTAGATCTTGATGTATTAAAAGCATGTACACTTATCACCTCCTAGGTTATAACCACCTTAAAAGTTCATTTTTGCATTGCTCCTTGGGTCATTATCTCGAGCGGTTGTTTTAACATTTGCTACCCTGGAGATATTTACGACTGACTGTTGTACTACATGTCAAAAAACAGGTTTGCAAAGCTTTTTATATTATGTTTTATTAGAGAGAAGAGTTATAGTCTTATACAGTAGAACTTTGAACTGACTGCACTTACTGCAATATCAGCTATTACACGGGTAGTATCTAAAGCCCCGCTATGATTGAAAAGTCGCGAGCAAGTTCCCGCTGAAATCGCGAGCATAGTCCTGTTTATTTGTATCACTTTGGAAAATGAACCAAAAGGATGAAAATACTTATTACTGTTCTTTGATACTCCAGCAAAACTTTGAAAACAGATATATTTGACAAAAAATGACATGAAAAATGATTATTTTTTACTTGCATGAAGGAAAGGGGCGTCAACATGCACGTTTGCATAATTTACTGTTCATATATTACCTTTATCGTTAAAATAGAGGCAACAAATACGATTTACATACTCCATAATAAATATCGGATCAAGATGGTCTGTATTGATAAGTTACTGGACAATGACACCTGCCATGGGGGTCGAAATACATTATTAAAGGTGTTCCAGTGGCCCCGCTGAAAACACGAGGAGGCCCCGCTGAAAGCATGAGGAGACCCCGCTGAAAACACGAGCAAATTTCACGACTACCCGCTTCGATCACGAGGAAAGCTTCATCATTATTCCATGGATATAGTGAGCTTCTTTATATGAATGTACACGATAACGTATTAATGACAATCACATAACATATCATTCTATGGCTACATCACAAATATTTCTACTTCAACTTCAGGCAGTCTAATCCATCTGTCAGTCTAATCCATCTGTCGCACAACCATGCGTTCGTGACAGCGTTCGTCCAACCGTCCATTCGTTCGTTCGTGCGTGCATCCGTTCGTGCGATTGTCCGTCCGTTTGTGTGCGCATGCGTTCGTCTGACCGTCCGTTTGTGCCTGCTTTCGTCTGACTGCCCTTCATGGGTTCGTCCGTCTAGGCATCCGTTCGTCCGTGCGTGCTTTCGTTCAACCGTCCATTCATGCGTGCGTTCGTCTGTTCGTTGTTTTTGCGTTCGTTTGTGTGTTCGTTCGTGCGTGCGTTCATTCGTGCGTTTGTTTGTAACTACGTTCTTGCGTGCGTGGGTTCGATCTTTTGTAAATTCTTTTCTTCTATCTTTCCTTCATGCGTTCTTTTGGCCGCCTATCCGTCCGTTTGTTCATTCATTGTTTTTTCGGCTGTTCTTCTGTCCATCCGTGCGTTCTTTCCTCGTTTGCAGGTTTTCATCAAAATTTGTCTTTCCACTGCCATATGAAAGAATGTAAATAATCAAGAAAGCAAGCAAGGACGTGAGGAAGTAAACAAGCAACAAAGTATTGAATTGAGTAAGCAAGCAAGTAAAGAAGGAATGGAGGAAGTAAATCGAGGAAATGAAGGTGGGAGTAATATAAGTAAGCAAGGAAGGAAAAAAGGAAGGAAGGAGGGAAGGAAAGAAGCAATGAAGCAATGAAGGAAGGAAAGAAGCAAGGAAACCGAGGGAGCAAGGAAGGAACGATGCGAGTAAAGAATTAAGCAGGGAAGCTAGCAAGTAAGGAAGCGAGGAAGAAAGGAAGCCAGGAAGCAAAGAAGGAAGGAAACGAGGAAGGAAGGAAGCAAGCAAAGACGCAAAGAAAGGAAGAAAAAAGCAAGGAAGTAAGTAAGGAAGGAAGGAAGAAGGCGAGAATGCAAGGAAGGAAGGAGGGAAGAAAGCAAGAAGAAATGAAGCGAGAAAAGAAGGACACGAGGAAAGAATGAAGGAAACGAGGAAGCAAGGAAGGAGGAAAGGAGGAAGGAAGGAAGCAAGGAAGGAAGGAGGGAAGTGAGGAAGGAAGGAAGCGATGAAGCAAGGTAAGAAGGAAGCGAGGAAGCAAGGAAGGAGGAAAGATGGAAGCGAGGAAGCAAGAAAGGAATGGAGCGAGAAAGGAAGGACGCGAGGAAAAAAAGTAAAGAAGCGAGGAAGCAAGGAATGAGGAAACAAGGAAGCGAGGAAGGATGGAAGCAAGGAAGGAGGGAAGTGAGGAAGGAAGGAAGCGAAGAAGCAAGGAAAGAAGAAAGCAAGGAAAAAAGCGAGGAAGCATGGAAGGAGGGAATGAAGCAAGGAAGGAAGGAAGAAAGGAAGGAAGTGAGGAAGAAATTTGTGAAGGAAGCGAGGAAGCAAAGAAGGGGAAAAGGAGGGAGCGAGGAAGGAAAAAAGCAAGGAAAGAAAGAGGGAAACGAGGAAAGAAGGAAGCGAGGAAGCAAGGAAGAAATGAAGCAAGGAAGGAAGGAAGCGAGGAAGCAAGGTAGGAAGGAAGTGAGGAAGGGAAGATTGCGAGGAAGGAAGGATGTGAAAGAAGGAAGGAAGGAAGCAAGGAAGGAAGCGAGGAAGCAAGGAAGAAAGCAAGGAAGGAAGTGAGGAAGCATGGAAGGAAGGAATGAAGCAAGGAAGAAAGGAGGAAAGGAAGTGAGGAAGAAATTTATGAAGAAAGCGAGGAAAAAAGAAGGAGGAAAGAAAGGAGCGAGGAATGAAAAAAGCAAGGAAGGAAGGAAGCAAGGAGGGAAGGAAGCGAGGAAGGAAGGAAGCGAGGAAGCAAGGAGGGAAGGAAGCGAGGAAGCAAGGTAGGAAGGAAGCGAGGAAGGAAAGATGCAAGGACGGAAGGAAGCGAGGAAGCAAGGAAGGAAGGAAGCAAGAAAAGAAGAGGCGAGGAAGAAAGGAAGGTAGGAATCGAGAAAGGAAAGAAGCAAGGAAGGAAGGAAGCGAGGAAGGAAAGAAGCGAGGAAGCAAGGAAGGAAGGAAGCCAGGAAGGAAGGAAGCAAGGAGGGAAAGAAGCAAGGAAGGGAGGAAGCAAGAAAGAAGGAAGGAAGCGAGGAAGCAAGGAAAGGAGGAAGGGAGGAAGGAAGTAAGCGAGGAAGAAAGGAAGGAAGGAACGAAGCGAGGAAGGAAGGATGCAAGGAAGCGAAGAAGGAAGGAAGTGAGGAAGCAAGGAAGGGAGGAAGCAAGGAAGGGAGGATGCAAGAAAGGAAGGAAGGAAGCAAGGATGGAAGGAAGGAAGCGAGGAAGGAAGGATGCAAGAATGCGAGGAAGCAAGGAAGCGAGGAAGCAAGGAAGCGAGGAAGGAAAGAAGCGAGGAAGGAAGCGAGGAAGCAAGGGAGGAGGGAAGCAAGGAAGGAAGCAAGAAAGAAAGGAGGGAAGTGAGGAAGGAAGGAAGCTAGGAAGGGAGGAAGAGAAGGAATGAAGTGAGGAAGCAAGGAAGGAATGAAGCAAGGAAGCAAAGAAGGAAGGAAACGAGGAAGGAAGGATGGAAGGAAGCGAGGAATGAAGGATGTGAGGAAGCGAGGAAGAAAGCCAGGAAGCAAGGAAGGAAGGAAGCGAAGAAGCAAGGAAGGGAGGAAGCGAGCAAGCAAGTAAGCAACAGGAGATTGATATAGGAATAATATTCAGAAACATTATTCTGACTAAATCATTTTAGGTTGACCTAAACGCACGCTTATTCGTGTATCTTACTGAATATCGACTTGTACTCAAAGATGGAACAGAGGGAGAGGGGACAGTTGAAATACAGACAATACAGAATATTTCCTATGGACTATGTAGTAAGATCACACGATAAAAAACGTTATACAACGATTTGAAGCGCAACATAGGATATATTGTGCTCTCGATATGCTGTATTTCCACTTGATTTCATCTCGTGCCAATACAGAATTTTTTGAGCACAATATATCCTATACTGCACTTCAAATCATTCAATAACTTATATTACTTCAAATTATGAAAATGAGGTTAAATGTTTAACATTTCGTCCGATCTAATACTCATCACATTTCTCAGATGATCTTTCGTATTCTGTAAAATGGCATGGAAATATGATACTGCAGTTTTCCATAACAACGTATCATAATATGAACTATATTAACAGTTGTGTTTGCTGTTATTGAGAATTGTATTGACAAATAATGTATTCATCAAACTGGGTACAATAGTGGATCAAGGTGGGTACGAAAGTCGGAGATTTTCAGGGTATAATCAGGATTCACTCCATTTTTGAGAGACACTTGCTCCTGTTTTCAGCGGGACCTCCTCATGTTTTCAGCGGGGCCTCCTCCTGATTTCAGCGGGATCTTTGCTTAATTGCTCCTGCTAGAAGCGGGGCCTTGAGGGATATGATAAAATTTAAATATAAAATGTTCTGTAAAGCTTTAGGAAGTGAAACTCGGTATATCTTTTTTTTCATATCACTATCGTTATTTCAACCACAGGACAACATCGTTCTTCACCAATAACGTATAGAAATATAAAGATTCAAAATGATACTTTCTCTCTTCAATTGACAAATAACGAACCACAGAACGACCGTTCGTGATACATTTTTTCCAGCAGTTGCTTTTTTAGTCTCAATACCATGTAATCATTGGGAAAAATTAAAAGAAAACGTTTTGTAAATCATACAATTCAAGAACACAAAAAAGAACCCATGACTTCTTTTTATTCCTCGCGATTTCAGCGGGAACTTGCTCGCGATTTTTAAATCATAGCGGGGCTTTAGATACTTCCCGTGTATTATAAGGGAAGAATCAGATCTAGCGAGCAAGCTGAACAAAAATTGTTTTAAAATCTTAGAATATTTTTTGCTTATATCATTTCTAATCCTGTCCAATTTTTATTTCAGGAAAACTAAAGAATTTTACAATAATGTACAACTTTGGATTTGTTATTTGGGAGAATTTAAACATTTTGCCCTATTTTGTACTTTGAAACAATTTACAACATATCAAGGATCTGTTCGGATTTATTGTATTTGAGATTGTAATGGAATATATTGGAAGGTCAATTGTACATGTTGCTTAGAATTTAGGCATCCACTTTAGATCTGAATCTATCTTTAACATCAACTTATTTTAAAATAATCAAAACATTGAGAAATGGCCAATTTTGAACCTCACTTCTTCCTTATATGGATATGGCAGCAATGGCTTGGAGAGGCATTTTGATTTTAAGTGCACTGGGCAGTTAATACAGCTAACATTGTATGTCAAACTAACCCCGACAATTTTATGATTTAATTTTGGCATGTATATTATACACTCGTGGTGACATTGACATCATATACTGTATAAGTGGTAATTTTGCCTAATCATTTAATTTGCCTATTTCCTAATTTTTGCCAGGTTCGGAAAATTAAATGTCGGAAATATTGTCTTTATAATGTTATCCAATGGGAGGTTTCTTGTAATTAGGAAAATTAAAATTAGGAAAATGATGAAATTTGACCATTCGGAAAATTAACCACTCGGATTAAATACCACTTATACAGTACTTGATTTACTTGTTTACTACACTCGGCACAGGTCATATATGCAAAAGTACTTTACTTGATTTTCATATATGCAAAAGTACTTTACTTGATTTTGATAATGTTGGGTCAAGTTGTGTCTGAGATTTCTTGAAATAGGGCAGCAAATCCCGGTAGCTCCATCCTTTATTTCCCAACTCTGCCCAAGTGTCATAGTCATATTTACTCCCACGTGTGTATTGCATGTAGTTATGGGCACTGCATCCCCCAAGCACCTTGCCACGCGTCCATAGACTTTCCTGCACATATGAATGACATGACAATCTTTGAAGGCAGTATTAATTATTACAATTTTGCTATATGATGAATACTATATTATGTTCATGTATAAGTGATCTTGGTATTTAAAATATTTATTTGATCATTATAGCTTTATAATCTTTATGAGCTGCCATTTAAGACTAGTAATATTTATATTTATATTAATAGTTGTGAGAGTTTTGGTATGGTATCGTTGTTTCTCATGTTCTAAAGGGAAGACATATTACCGAATTCTTTAATCCCTTGCAGCAATGTTTCTGTGGCACTGACTTGTATTGCCAATCTATCTTTGTTCTTTGGTTATGTTTGGCATCCACAGGCATTGCCGTAGCAGGATACGTTGCTTCACCAGCTTCAAGGAGCAACACTTTTGAGCTCGGGTCTTCTGACAATCTACTGGCTATGACAGAACCTGCCGACCCCCCTCCAACTAAAGTAAACACCAATCACTATGAAAATCAATTAAAGCAAAAGGCTGGTCGGATGTCCAAGATTCAATGTTCATTTTGTTAGAGACTTTGATTTGGTCTTTTTTTCAATGTCAGTAGAACTGTAAGGTGTCCTATTGAAATAAGATTTTATAAGTCCATTAAGTTTATAAGTAAGACATTTATAAGAGATTTATACACAGTACAGGTTTTATATTTCTAAAAACAATTTCGAGCTTGAGAGAACATATTTATTGAGAAATGCAAAACTCAGGCAATACTCAATAGTGCTATTGTATGTTATTAAAATACAAAATAAATCAGAAAATTGCAACTTCTGGAAAGAAACAGCCAAAAACTGATATAAAGTGTATACTACATAAATTCCCAACATTGTTATCTTAAAGTAATTCTTGTTTCATGTGTGTATGACAAAACTTGATTTTTGATTTTAACTATGCTACACCACCTTGACAATATTATCATCATTAAACTTGACAGTATGCAATAAGAAATGCTCATTGATTTGGCATTTGAAATCTTAAATATCAGTTATTGATTGAATAGTATCATTATAAACCTTACCAACATTGTAGTCATATTCTTCATCCAAGTCATCCTGTATCAACGAATTGATATCAATATCATTGATTTGGCATTTGAAATCTTTAATATCAGTTATTGATTGAATAGTAGCATTATAAACCTTACCAACAATGTAGTCATATTCTTCGTCCAGGTCATCCTGTATCAACGAATTGATATCTGGTTTTTCCTTTGTGAAATATAAATAAGCTGCAACAATAACTATCACAAATGACACTTTTTCCAACATTGTATGAAACTTGTTCTTGCACAAATAGTTTTTTTTAACTCTGTACCTAGCTGTACGTGTATGTAAGTGTCTAGACGGACTTTCTGCACAGGGTGGGCAATAAATATGTACACCATATTTAAGTTCAAACGTCAGTTCAGTTTATTTCTTCATGGTATTAAGTATGCATTAGGCCTACGGCGTGCGTCTACGCGGTAGCTAGGCGTCGTCGTCAGTACAAAAAACAACAACAAAACAATGAATGTTTGTAAAATATAGTCTTTTTTATAATTGCGTTACAATTAGGTGCTAGGCCAATCTTGGTCGGCGGCTTGCGTCTACGCGGTAGCTAGGCGTCGTCGTCAGTCAAAAAACAGCAATTTTGTTTGTTTGTAAATAGTGATTATTTTCAATTTAACATTTACATAATTTGTATACATGTATCTCATTTATATAAAGGGCAATAAAAATATACATTAGGATCAGTGTAGGCCCTAAGGATCTGAAACCTGCTGGTCAAAATGACATTACGGACAAATTGCAATGTTATGTTCCTATATCTAGTGAAAACTTGTCCGTATCAAAAGTAACCTGGTAATGACCAGAGGACTGGCCCTTAAGACCTTCACTCATTTGGATCTAAATTCAAATACAATCATTGAATTCAATATTTATTGTGCTCGCGAAGAAGTGTTTGATAATTGAAAAAGTTGAAAAATTAATATGGTTCTCACATTAATGGTTCACTAATTTTCCCACGGAAGATAGATACAGTCAAACTGACTTGTTTAGTGATAACCTTGAATCTAAAAATGAACAATTGAAGGGGCATATTGGAGCATTATTTTTGAAAATAAAAACATACGTGTGTATTTTGTTTTGTTTTGTAGTTTGGCTATCAAATGGACAGCCTCTATTATTTTGATGTTTTCTTCGGCACGTTATTCATTCAAAATTAACATTGCTATATTATATGCTTGCCTAACTATCTTACATATACATAATTGTTTTTCTTTTTCTATACGTATACTGTTGCAATTTGAACCTTCGATTGCTTATATTTTCAGATTCAAAAACATTGTCACTTAAATTGCCATTTTGACTTGTATTTTGATGAACTTTAGAGTGTTTCACGTAATATAACAAAAAAGAAAGGTTTAGTTCCCGGGTTTAGTTATTTGGTCCAACTCAGTACATACACATAAAGGTGCCTAGATGGAACAGTAGCATTTTGCATAGTTTGTACTACATCATCTAAAATAGGAGGTCATGCCTATAAGTACATGAAGTTAATATGACATAGAATCAAGTTAAGTCTTTTTTGGCTCTACTATATCATCAAAAATAGAAAGCATGCCTAGAAGTAATTACAGTGATATAAACTATTATATATGAGGCCATGTCAAAAATAATAGTTCATATAGATGGTAGTTTATTGTTTTGTGTTAAACAGTAAACATCTTTCAGTGAATGTTTTCTTTGAAATTACAATGATTAAATTCATTAGGTTCTCACTTCCCCCAATGGCAAAAATCAACCATGTCAAGAGCTAATTAGATGTTCATCTAGTAAATCACTGTTTGCCAGTTGTGACTGACCACATTTCGATCTAGAAATTATTTTGTTCAGTAAAACATAGTTGGTCATTTAAATATTTCAACTTTTGGCCAGTATATTGAACTACAGCAGAACTTTGTCTTCAACTGTAGATGCTTGCAAGTGTATTGAAAACTATGCATAGGTTTACAAAATTAGCTATTTACTGCTGCTCACAATAACATTTTAGTTTTTATTGTTATTTTATCATTCTTTATGTAAACAACATGCAGGTGGAACAATAAATTTAGTTTGCATTTAGCTGAGCAAATAAAAGTCTCAAAGTCTAACTTTCAAGGTGAAATAAATGACAAATGACACCATGTGTCTCACTTTTCTAAAATACCGTCACAAACGTTCACTAGTTACTTTTTAACCAGTTGGTAGGTTCATATTTTTATATCACCACCAGAAGTTATAGTTTTCAACTTTTTGTGGATGGTGTTCAGCGTCTGTAACAGATGAGAGGTACTGGTATTTGCATGGTGATGTCTTGTAGTAGAAATATTATTTTAAATAATTCCAAAAGCAACGATCCTACATCAGTCTCTTGAAAATTAGGTTCACCATAAATGAATTAAATAGATTGGTCATGTAATGTTTTAAAATGCAAGATGAACATATGAATATTATAACAATGAAATTGTTCTTAAATAGTCCAGTAATAATATGTGAAAATACTTAAATTATATGTACAAGTATTTATTGGACATGCTTTTACTTAAAAATATATTCCTCTAAAAATAAGTTCTACGAAACATAAAACCAAGTTGCTTTCGTGTGATTGGACTCTATACAAGCTGAGAAAATATCAATTATATATAGCTCACTGGCGGATTTTGATTTTAGGAGTCCAATTAGTTGGCCTTTTTGGTCATTACTGGGCCTTTGGTTTAAGGGGCCCAGATTTATTTTCAGACTTGAAATTTACCCCCCTTGTTGGTTCCTAGATCCTCCCCTGTAGTTAAGGAACCCAAAGGTCAGCCTTTTACCATCAAAAATAACTTACATTTACGTTAAATAGATGGCAGCAATGTTTAATTACATTACATTAGTTCACATGGGAGTACTGTGGAAGGACCCTGTAAAGAAAAGTATAAGTGCCAGTAAAAGTATGAATATATTTGAAAATTAAAATATATCAAATAATACAATTGCAAGTTTCTATATTTCGCATGTATTATTTGTATCTGAACATTAGCGACATTGAAATGCATCCATTATTTCGCGAACAAGTGTAAAATGCACTAGCTGAGAATAATGATTTGTTTAACCAATTTGGAGTTTTTGTTATTGAAATGGTAGACAAAAATCTAAATTCAAAATCAAGAAAATGGTTGATTGAAATCAAGTTTATCAATGTTCTCGCCAATGAAAATGTACAGACTTAAATTTTATTTTGTGTATCTTTTGTGTTTGTAATTTTATAAAAAAGTATGATGTAATGATTTGGTTAACTACAAAAATTTGACTTTTTTTATGGTGACCTTGAGTTTGAAATATGTTAAAAATTGTTATAAATTCGAATGGATAATGGCGGAAAAAGCGATCAGATCTTTTAATTTTGGTGGCTTTTTCCGGAGAACATTTGGAGCTATCTCATTTCATATGTGGTTCGGTAACTGAAATCTTCGTTTTTAATAATTATAAATCGGAAGATTTCCATGTTTTTCAATTTAATAGTATAGGGTCATTTAAGAGTAGAGTTCCCCTCTATTAGAAGTATGTAATGAGTGATGATAATGGCCCCTAGTGACCCATAATATAATGGAAACTTATTCAGATATAAATCATTCAATTTTACTAGTTTTGAATGGCTTATAATCTTTATTAGAAATATTTATTAATTAACTATCAGTTATAATTAACTTAATTAATACTCAATTATGAACTATATCTTTGAAACCTCTAGCCTAACCACTAGCAGCAATTGAATAAATACAGATATGTTTTAGTGTTGTTTTCTTATCCAATTCGATATTCACAAAACACACAAACAAATTTTTGGTCTACGGTGAAACCTGTATGTCTGAGTACCTATCTAATCTTAAAACCACTCAAAGTGAACACTTTTTTCACGGCCACATTGTTATCTCCCATTGACTTACATGTTTATAAAATGACACCTGCTGATTCGAACACTTTTAGTTCTAGTTGGCTAGTTCCAACAGCGTTCGGATGAGACAGGTTTTACGGTATAATGTTGTTCACGCTACCACTTTCTCATTAATTCTAGTCATTTATCAATTGTAGGCTCAGAGGTTGTTTCACTTTATCAAATTTACACATGATCTTCTTGTTTGGTTCTACCAGGGCATGTTTAAAATACATACAATTACCCTCATTTAGATTTTGAAGATGTTTATCAATAAATGCAAAAATGAATACAATAATTATTTTTTTTATTTTCATTATTTATTTCAATTGAATAGATATACAATTTAAAATAATGCATATATTCTTAAATTGCTAAAATGGCATTATATAAGAATAAAGGGGCAAGTGGAACTAGTGAAACAAATTATATGTATGCAAAAAATAAGGGTAAGTGACAATAAGCGAACTATTATATGGAATCGATTTCTCGTTGCACGTACATGAAAGACACATGAAACATGACACATGAGACACATGAAAGGGAGCTAACAACCAGTTAGATTTAATACCATTATTATTACTATGCACGGAATATACTGCTGTGCATTCCATTTTTGAGCAATACCTTGATGGAACAAGATTTCTAGCTGGACGCTGGATAATACATTATTGAGTCTTGAACTACTGAATAATGATCCATCTGAAAAAAACATTACTAGTACCATCACAAACGTGCCCTTTCATCAGTAGCAATTTGCCATTTCCTTTCTTAATTATTACTTTATTATCAGCTTGGCTATCACACATATTGGCCACAGTTACTAAAGTATTGTGTTATCAAATAAATATATTGTAACAAGAACATTGCTTTTAGAAAACTCTGATTGCTCGCCAGTCAGGTTCCGATTTAAATCGGGAGAAAGTCCAATTTCTCACCCGATTTTTTGCACAAGGCCCCTCAAATTCAGATTTTAAAAAATATTTTTTACTTGACAAGTAATCATGTGTGCAATAGGATAGTTTCTAAATAGCAGAAAAATCAATGAAATCTCGTGCTGCCATCTTTTAATCAGCTTTTAACATGGGCTAGAGCTCCATTCATTTACATACTGAAATCTTGGAAAAGTGGCTCAATTTCATGATTTATCAAAGTGTGTTTGTTGAATCTGTATAAAACTTGAATGATATACCACTTGATGACCCTGTTCATGTACATGTTGTGATTAAACATGCAAATGTTGATTGACATACAAATAATCCACGGATTTAAAGAATTTTAGCATTGCATCTATGGACATTTGGCCCGAGTTTTTTTAATTGTTATAGAAAATTATTCAAATTACATAACTGTGTAAATCAAAGCTATTTTAGGAGAAAACATTTCACTGAATTCAAATATGCCATTTAAAAGAAGGTAATGTAAGTCATTAGAGGTCTATTATGCAAATTTCTTAAAATCCCACGAAAAACGAGATTTAGCGAGATTTCAAAAGCTATATGGAAACTATACTATTAGTATTTAGTATAGTATTAATGCATTCTTCCGATCCCGTTAATTGTCAGTAAAAGGTTTACGCCATACATCCACCCATAAAAGCAATCTGTAATTACCAGTTCACACATGTATACCGATATATTACCAATATTTGGCATAAAATATTAACTATCAGGTGTAAATGGCCAGTATAAAATATGCATAAAATATGCAAGCCATTCCAATATAATGAGATAATGAGAGTTGCACTTATTTTACATATTTGTCTACAATCTAATTAAGCATCAAAAATATTTTATGAAACAAATGTTCCGTTAATTACACTTTTAGGAAGGGGAAGATCAAGTGATGCATTGTTTTAGATCATCAATGTATTTCAGTGCACATTGTTAGCTAATATTATCAGGTAATCTGCATTCCAACTACAGAGCACAGTACTGCCGTTCGATAAACAGCTATTCGGCAGCAGAGAAGAACAATAAAATTAAAGGTGAGACTTTTTTTTTTTTTTTTTTTTTTTCAGTTTATTTATTTCAATTTCCTTGCTATTGATATACAAAAGGTGAGACTCATCAGAATTGACACCACAAAATAGCAAAGGAAGAGGATAGAAAGGAAACAAGATAGGGTTGAGAGCATATGCATGCAAGCAAAACAATTGAATATTTATGACCAAATGTCATAAATAGATCGAGGGTGACTGGTGTCTCTGGTACATGGTAGGCGAAAGGTTCAAACATCAATTGATAATCAAAACAAGTTTTTCTCCAGATCTATAACACAATGTTATTGTTATACTTTAAATGTTGTTGCATCATTTTAGTGACTTTTCAATCTGTTAAAGCAACAACAGATGATTTTCAAGAGGATGAGGTTTATGTACGCCAAGGTGATATCATGTTTGGTGTCTTTATAGACAATTATGAACATTATGAATTGTGCGGTAGTAATGATGAACATGTCCTAGACATTCTAAAGGAGATCGGAGCTATGAACTACGCTATGGATATGATAAACAAGAATCATAATTTGCTTAAAGGAGTAAAACTAGGCTTTATTGCTCCTTTAAAATGTGTTGGTGACCTAACAAATCTTGCGCGGGCTTTATCGTTTGTACCTCGTCAAACTCAACAATGTACAGATCAGCCTATTCCAATAGATCAACGGTATCATAAAGTGGTTGGGATTTATGGACCCACTTTCAGTCAATCCTCAGTCTTAAGGGGACTCATCTCTAACCCTTACGACAATGGTGATACACCTGACAATAACAGAACAGAAAATAAACATATTCAGGAAAAGCTTATTTGTTAACTTCACGTTTGACAAGTGTTCTATAATTAAATGTTAATGACGCTAAATGACGGTATGTGACACTTTACGACATAGTAACTCATAGCAACTATGAGCTCCTCACTTCAAGGAGGATTGGCTCCCAGAGTGCACCACCGATATTCTGTCCCATATATGGGTATGTCGTAATACAAAATTCGAATTCAAACAGCCGCCATTTTGTTCACTTCAACATTTAAATCGTGAATTTTGGTCTTATTTCCAAACGAAAAATTCCAAAACTCACAAGAAATGATCGAGATATTGGTTCGAATCTTTTGAACTGTTTATTTTGAATTTATAGTCGGTTTTAATTTCAGAAAATAACGACATTTCGACGTTTTCATTGTTGGAAAATATCGAGTTTCGATCCTGGGAGCCAATCCTCCTTGCCTCACTTGAAGCATTGTTTTATCATGACGTCATATAACACTCTTGTTCACGAATTCTTGGAATATGGTACCATCATCTGTGACGTCAGTGACATATTGCCCCATCAACAATTAAACAAACAAATGAACTATACGTCACTGATTTCCCAAATAATTGCATAATTCGGGTGTTTGCTTTGTTTTCTTGTATTCGTTCAAGCTTAGTTCGTTATATTCCACCATTACAACAAGCATGCAAATGTTTTAAAGACATGGCAAACCAGCATGTAACTTGCTTTTTGCTTTTTTCCGCTAAATGCCATTAGTATGAGCAATTTATATAAGGTTTCATTACATATTACCTTGGAAATCAAAATGGTAAGTATTCCCACATATTACTGATGTATAAGAAAATCGTTTTAGCCTACTGAGGCTACTGTACAGCCATCGAATTGTGTACCTCTTAATAACATCTAAAACAAAAAAGGTTTAACCACCGATTTTTTACGTAAAATAATATCAACGTTTATTGAAATAAAGAGGCGATTGAAATTCAACATGGCGTCAAGAACCATTTACAAATGTTAGTCTTATAAGGCTTTAATTTATCTACCCTCATTTATATTTCTTGGAATTCAAACTATTCAGATAATAAAAGGCATTGCATTTGTATCATTTTAAACGATTGTAAAATGATTCGCATGCCCAATAACACGTATAGCGAGATCATACCGTTTCGAACTAAAAAAAATTGTTGGTGATAATCGATGAAATTCTTGAAAATATAAGAAAAAGCCGAAACTCCGAAAATAAATAACAGAAAAAATCGACGGTGGAACCTCTTTATATTTTCAAATGTTATTTATCGGTACGTGAACTATTGTTTAAAACAATAAAAACAATATGTCAATGTTTTAGTTTTTTCCTCAAAAAATGTCAAAGTTTATGAAAATTGAAAGTCAATTAAAATCTGATATAGCGTCAATTGTACTGTTGAATTTGGGTAAGGGGTCGCATGCCTTTACAAAGATTGGTATAATAATGCTTTATTTACCTCGAATCGAATTTTCTTGGAATTCAAACTCTTCAGATAATCAAACTGAAGTTAATCAAAGACATTTTTAGCGATTGTATAATGATTCACATGTCTTATACGCGTATGGCGAAACTATACCGGTGAGCAATATAAACATTTCTTGTTGAAGATAATTGATGAAATTCTTAAAAATATCAGAAAAAGCCGAAATTTTTAATCTAAATAACAGAAAAAATCGACGGTAGAACCTTTTTATATTTTCAAATGTTATTAAGGGGTACGTGAACTGTTGTTTAAAACAATAAAAACAATAGGTCAATGTTTTATATTTCTCCTCAAAGAATGTCAAAGTTTGTGGTAATGAGGTGATTTAAGTTCGACATGGCGTAATTTTTATTGCCGAATTTGGGTGAGGGGTCACAACCCTTTGCAAAGGATGGCCTTATGATGCTCTAGTTACCCTAATTTTAATTTTCTTGATATTCAAACTATTCAGATAATAAAAGGCATTGGATTTACATCATTTTAAGCGATTGTAAAATGATTTGCATGCCCAATAACACGTATAGCGAGATCATACCGTTTCGCACTAAAAACATTTTTTGTTGGTGATAATCGATGAAACTCTTGAAAATAAAAGAAAGAGCCAAAATTCCGAAAATAAATAACAGAAAAAATCGACGGTGGAACCTTTTGATATTTTCAAATGTTATTTAGGGGTACGTGAACTATTGTTTAAAACAATAAAAACAATATGTCAATGTTTGAGTTTTTTCCTCAAAAAATGTCAAAATTTATGAAAATTGAAAGTCAATTTAAATTTGATATGATGTCAATTATACTGCCGAATTTGGGTTAGGGGTCAGAGGCCTTTACAAGGATTGGTATTATAATGCTTTATTTACCCCGAATCGAATTTTCTTGGAACTCAAACTCTTCAGATAATCAAACTGAAGTTAATCAAAGACATTTTTTAGCGATTGTATAATGATTCACATGTCGTATACGTGTATGGCGAAACTATACCGGTGAGCAATATAAACATTTCTTGTTAGAGATAATTGATGAAATTCTTAAAAATATCAGAAAAAGCCGAAATTTTGAATCTAAATAACAGAAAAAATCGACGGTGGAACCTTTTTATATTTTCAAATGTTAATTAGTGGTACGTGAACTATTGTTTGAAACAATAAAAACAATATGTCAATGTTTTAGTTTTTTCCTCAAAAAATGTCAAAGTTTATGAAAATTGGAACACAATTAAAATTGTATATGGCGTCAATTGCACTGCCGAACTTGGGTAAGGGGTCAAAACCCTTTATCTAAGCTGTTCTTACTATACTTTATTAGTACCCATGAAAAATAATTGGCATCAAAAGTCTTCAGCTTATCAAATGCCGTAAATTAAAAACAATCTTGGCGGCCGTGTGACGATTTTCCTATCAATCATCGATAAATTGAGAACGTGTCGCTTTTAAAGCAAGCGTATTCTCGTGAAGCGGGTAAATTGAGGCGCTCTTTTCCGTAACGTCACACCCATCTTTCAGACGATGTAGTGAAATATTTTGATGGCTAACATTCAATGTTTTTTACATCAAATGAAAGCATATATGACACCCTTCCGAAAAAAGAAACATAAACAGTGCGTTCAGCGTACCCCAAAATCGGCTAGGTTAGAGATGAGTCCCCTTAACAGCCTCAGCTCTAGGCTTGGCAAAGCTCCCTCAAATAAGTTATTCTACCAGTGATGCGCTTAGTAACAAGGCTCTCTACCCATATTTCATGCGGATATCACCACCAGATAGATACCAGGCCCAGGCTATTGTAGACGTAATTCGCTATTTTAATTGGACCTATGTTTCTACACTACATAGACTCGACAACTATGGTCAAAATGGGATTAATAAGGTGCATCAGCATTTAAAGGAGCATGGTATTTGCGTTGAATATAGCGGAATTATACAAAGCGAATCGATGAACCAAATTGAATTTGATGATGTCTATAAAAAACTTAAACGACACAATAAGCCAAGGGTGGTCATCGTTTTTGCATTATCTTCAGATCTAAAGGGAGTTTTAGATGCAATCAAAAGAGCAAATGGCTCCAATGGCTTTATTTGGGTCGTAAGTGATGGAGTTTACAACATCGATGATATCATATCTCAAATGGTCGGGACAGTGAAAATTTACCTATATGCACAGCCAATACATGCCATTGATACTTACATAAAATCTCTTACACTAGCGGATTTCTCCAAAGAAAACTCATTAGCTGGGATAAAATGGATTCGAGATGCATGGGCCAATCATTTTGACTGCTCGTTCAGCGCTAGCAATGCGAACACTACAGTATGCTCGGAACATTTGACATTAAAAGACACCAAAGGTTATTCTCCGTTTGGCGACAAAGGATCGCTATTAATGAACATCATCAACACGTTCGCACATGGCTTACATGAACTGATAACTAATGAGTGCCCAAGTGCTTTTAATGATAAAACTCTACTTGATGACTGCATCGAAGGACCAATTTTCAAACAGTATCTTATAAATGTTAATTTCACAGGGAGTTGGGGCCGAGTTAGGTTTGATGAGTTCGGAGACATTCTTGGAAGGTACTCCATCAGTCAAGTACAGCTTGATACCGATCAGAATTTCAAGATTGTTAATGTCGGAATATGGGATGTTCAGAATGAGGTGAATCTAAATATCAACAACACGAAACTAAAATGGCACCATCACAAAGATCACAACAAGCTACAAGATGTATTTCCCGAGTCTTTATGTAGCTACCCTTGTCAACCAGGAGAGTTCTATATTAAACAGGAGTTGAAATGTTGCTGGGAATGCAGGACATGTCGAACTAACGAAATTACAACGAATAACGCTAGTACCTGTAAGGAATGCCCGAAATACCAGTGGCCAGATCAGGAAACATTCAAAAATTGTCTCGCTATTCCATTGGACTACTTAAGATTTACAGATAGCCTTGCAATCGTCATATCTGCCCTAAGTATCTTGGGATTCTCACTGTGTATTATGACGTCGGTAGTACTGATCAAGAACCGGACGCATAAACTAGTGAAGGCTTCAAATAAAGAGCTCACGAGTCTTATTCTCTTAGGAACGATGTTAGCATATCTAAATGTGTTCGTGATCATTGCAAAACCGGGAAATGTTTACTGTTACTTAAGCTGTCTTGGGTTCCACATCAGCTCAGCACTAGCTTACGCCCCAATGGTCTTGAAAACCAACAGGGTGTTCAGAATCTTTGATGGTGGTAAACGAATGATCCAGCCGAAATTCATATCATCAAGATGGCAAATTATCATGACGATTTTACTCATTTTGATACAGGTGATATCATGTTGAAAGCCCATGGTGATATGTAGATATGTATATTCGTACTTAATATTTAGTTTATTATCAGTATCTATATATTTAAGAATGCACTATGAAATATAACACAGAATGTAATAGCTGTTTAAAATATGTCTGTTTTTCAGATAGTCATTTCTACTTGTGTAACGACAATATTGCCCCCTGTCGCTGTAAAAAATCAACCAGTGATAACAGAAAAGTCTGTGGAACTTCTATGCTGGATACCCATCGAAAGCCTTGTTGTTCCATTAGTCTTCAACCTCGTTTTGATTATCGTCTGCGCATACTACGGTTTCAAAACGAGGTTACTACCTGATAACTTCAATGAATCTAAATGCATTTTCTTTTCAATAAGCACCACGCTTTTCATGTGGATTGCCTTTTTGCCTACCTATTTCACTGCCTCCTCTGGTCATAATAAGGCCACACTTTTGTCAGCTCTCCTCATTCTGAATGCGTATGTCACTCTTTTTGTGCAATTCCTTCCAAAACTTTACGCTATCTACTACATCGATGAGGACCATATGAAGCTTACACCGGCTCGTTTGACCAATAGTATCCAACCATCGACAGCACCAGATGCTTAGCAATCTAAAGCTAAGGTGGGCATTGATCCAGGTCCCAGGACCATGCGTGAACGTCGAATTCAACAATGCTTATTGAAGTTTTTGATGGACCTAGAAAGATTAAATAATATGTGTGATTTATGGGTTAAAGCGACCCTTCAACCTTCGCATGCTATTGAAAAACTCGCATACCTTATAGTCACACAAAAATGCTTACTAAGCTGGATTAGTTTAACGGTCCACAACCCTCTCCATGTGAAATAGTCCGTCCGTGTGCTGAAATACGATCCCGTCGTGAGACATGGAGGGCAAAAATGACAAATGTCAGGAAAAGGGTAGAAAACGGGGGACATTTTGATATCTTGTTAATGGAGAACGATACAATATAGCTGCTTATCAATTTGTCGAGATTGCAAGAAAAAAAGCAAAGCTTAGACTAATAGGTTGAACAGAGATTTGTCATGATGGGCTACACTTCAAGTACAACAGTTCTTTTATATGACCGTATTCAAATTCATTTTCGTGCAATTTATGAAGTTCAAGCGTCCGTACTGTTGAACAAACTGCATGTAGCCCACACATTACAAAAGTATATGAAAATGTGGTTTAAATCTCGAACAGAAGGATCCATCCTGCATACCTACGGTAAATATGCAAGGTAAAAATCAATTGCACCCCGATGCTAAGTTAATGGCACACTTGCTGAAATCCTTATTTTTCAGAAGAACTCAAGTTGATAGAGTCTCAACAAATAGATTCACGGGGAGAGCTTTGCTGGAATCCATTTTAAATGGTAATAGTGGTTCTTCAACAGGACATAAAAGCTTATCTAAGGCCTTTTTGAAATTATTATTTAGTACTAATTCAAATTTATCAATTTACGTCGCACAACATGAAAGTAAAATCAATACTCTATTTATAGGAAACAAACAAATATATGTATATGTTATAATGAATATTTATCATTTAATATAAATATATACAAACATGTTGGCATCTGGGCATCTCATGAATTGACTGTGACACTCTCTTGCGTATGAAGTCGCTTCGTTTGCGACATGTGAATGAACGTTGAATTCTCCTTCATAGCAAATGAAATCGGTAGCCCCATAATGTGGATGGTGCTATATTTGAAAGCACCATAATGTGGATGGTGCGGCGTTAGTCTGAAAGCGCCATAATGTGGATGGTGCTTAGGTCTGTAAGCCCCATAATGTGGATGGTGCTTAATACTCTAATAATGCAGCTCAACATTCTCTTCTCGAAAGGCGGAATGATCGGATCTCTTGCACATGGACGGACTAAATCATATGGAGCGGGATGTGGACTGTGATGGTGTACAATTACAAGGGTTTAATGAATCTGCATTGCTAAGAGCCTCACTGGGTTCTTTGCTTTGATGCTTCATTCATGAGTAACCCCCCATCACACCAAACTAGTTCTAACCCGTTCTTGCCAGTCCTACGAAAACGTCGTAAAACGCGCTCAATCTGGCTGTGGTCGGGAAATATGTCTGAAATAATTAGCTGCTTCGTTCATAAACAGTCGTCAATACGTCCATCTCATTCGCAGTTCGTTCAGGTCGCACCACGTGGGTGTACAACGTCGTATAAGCGTCCCTTAGTCGAGAAGGTCATCATGACCCGATTACAGAACGGTATGGTCGCCATCGAATTTTGAATTGATTCAAAATTCTAAATCACATTTCCCGTCCGGGAAAGTCTATGAAGTTCGTAAACAGACCGTAGAACGTTGTAGCTACGTTCATCCAGTTCGCACACAGTTCGCACACAACGTATCCAAGCAGTTCAATTACGTCCTTAATCAGTTTAAACCAGTTGACAACTAGTTGTACCTCGTTCTCAATACGTCCTAATATGTTACTGAATTATCCACCAAATTTTCATACGATTGAACTCGTTCTAAAATAGTAAACATCGTGTCCCTAATCTTTGCAGAACGCATTTATAATCCCCTATTTTCCTGTTTGGGGTACTCACGGCAAGGGCGTTACAATACCCGGGAATTTATCGGTTCGTGCAGTACTTGTTTGTGATAGCGCCCTCTGTAGGTCACTGTGCTTATAGCCTACAGTAATACGGGGTAGGATATCGGGAATTCGGTCAGTTTCTATCCGTCGATTTCGCTATGAATTGAAGCAAGTGTGACCACTTTATCCACTTAAACAATTTGATAATTGATTAAATCTTTAAACAAAATCGATAAACACGTTATACACTTCCTATCTCCTTAGAAATTAGCATGTATTTATGGATTGTGTTTTCGAACAAGGCTCGACCCAGACCAATAGGGAAATCCTTATGCTAATTAGTATGACGTCATATTTTCCTGGGGAATCCTAGATTTCAAAGCCTCAGTCTGTTATTGTGTCAAATGTAAGCGCTCTTTTGCAGACAGAAAATTGACAGATTAGCTTTTAACTTTCAGCTTTGATTTTTAAATATTCTGTATTTCTACCGGACTTCTTGCTGAATATCATATAATGTTATAACTTGATTTGGATCATTGCCTGATTGATCATTCTGAAATTTTGATTGTGATTCATGATTGATTGGCAAGAAAAATAATTCCTATTGTTTTCCAGCGAAGTCAAAATGTTACAGCATGAGTTATAATGTCGAGTTTGCATCATGTTAAATTCTGCTAGTGATTAGAAGTCCATGCACAAGCATACACATAAGAGACAAACACACCCGGGCTCCAGGCCGTGGATGGAAATATAAAACTATTTAAGGCACAAACTGGTATTAATAGACCGATATGTAGTGTCTGCCATGTATTGAAGGTAAACCAATCTGCATTATTAATGTTTCTTCTATCAATACATGGATTGTGCAATGGAAAAGCAATGGCACAATCAAAAATGTGCATATCAATCGTGAATAACTCTCGGTTCAAAGCTTATTTCCAACAGAATCGTGTCAAAATATGTGTCTGAGTAACAGTTATACATTATAAGATCGCAAACTCTTACCAATTATCAGCCGAATGACTCATTTTCAACGAAATGTCCTTAAGACAACAGCCCTGGGTCGCGCCTGAGACCAAAAACTATTTCAAATAGCCCTCCCCTAATTATATTGGATAATCACATTTATGCGTGCGCGCGCAGCTCATCCACTGAACGAAACGCCACTTCCCGCTGAAATCACCGGGTATTGATCTTTCCCTTGCTCACGGCTGCAATTTACGCCTAACTACACACCGTCGTCATACTTCCCTAGTAGGATTGAAGTACACCACCTCCATTCGTAGTGTGTCCCCAGTGTCTCCAGGTCGTCTTAAGTACGTTGTCACTCGTTCTGATTGCAGAACGTGACGATCACCAGAAAATTTCTGGAGAACCTACTCGTTCGAGTAGTTTCATGAAGTTTTTAAACAGATCCCAAACCGTTCTTAGTGCTTGATTTGAAAACTTCATTAAAGCAGCTTTAAAATGGTATATGATTTTAATTAGAATATTATCTTATATTCCGAAGAATTAAAGTTACATTCATGCGATACCCTAAAAAAACAAGTGCGCCAGCTTTTTGCGACATGTCTCACGATTTTTCTTTAACTTGAAAAGTAAATATGTATAGCGATTTCGTTCTTAATTGATATGTGAATACTATGTGCATGGCATCGCACACTGTCTAACGACACTTTTAGTAGGAGGCGGCCATTTTGAAAAATGGCTGCCATTTTCACGTGTGTTATTTTACCTTTTTTAATACAACTCGAAAATATAGTTTTATAAGGTATCGGAAAATCAACTGCATTTGAGCATTAAAAGTTAGCAATCCGACGTCGTTTGCATAGACGTTCATAAACATGCAAAAATCGATGGCATTCTTAAAGTAGTTTTTGTAAAAGTTTTTCCCTCAAATTCGTGAAAAGAACGCACGTCGCGAATACTTAATTATTTGCTTTTGAAAAAGCCATAGGAGAGTCCATCCATAGTGACTCGATTTTCATGAAAGAAAGCATATTGGGAAGGAAAGTTTATATAAATACGAAATGTTTATGTATCAACATGAGCAGTCTCAATGATGGCTTTGCATTTTATACAGCATTAGAAACAAGGTAACTTTCAAAAGTTTATAATGAATTTCACTTTTATTGGCACCAAATTCCGACTATCATAACTTTGCCCCTTTACCCCAATCACCCTGATTTTTACGCCAGTCGTGTCAAAATAGTCCATATCATGACAAGGGGGGGGGGGTGGTAAACAATTAGTGGTGACTGCGTCTAAGAAGCCATTGTCATATAATTTTTTGAATAAGAAATTTTTTAAGATTAATTTTATCTTTATTCGTTTTCTTATCCTTTCTTAGTACTGTTTATTGTAAAACATTTGTCGTTGTAACTTCAACAAGCGTACAACACGTATGGGCCTCCTCGTAACGTGGATCGCAACAATCTCCGAGAACCCATATTGCTGAAAGATGAAAATATGTGTATTTTATTTATGTTCAGCCAAAAGTACTAGTGAATATTTCTATACGGTGCTCGCTCCTGGAGTGGAGAGAATAGCCAGGCTCCTTACAACATGTATTTGAGAATCAAAAGGAGTACCATTGCCTCATCTTGATTCACAAGGTTTCGATTGTTCCTACTAAGAACCAGCTGGCGTTTATTTACACAGTGGTCGGTTAAATCGGGCAAACTTATCAAGGTGAGGTAGGAACACTCGAGACCTTGCTAATCGAGATGTCATGCCACCGGGTCTTTAGATCCAGTGGAAAACGACGATGCCATTGCCCCGAGAGTATAAAGACGGCTCTCATAATGTATAGATTTTTTATTTTATTTTTTATTTTATTTATTTTTATTATTTTTTTATTTTTTTTATTGAATCAAACATGAAGTAATAATGTATATATATTTACCAGGTTCGAAGCCATCGGGGCACGGGTTGTTATCACCAAACGGATCTGGGTCAACTAAACACCTGCCGCCATCGTCCCGGCAACTTCTTTCGGTCGTACCAATACAAATGTCCGTATCATTGCCTGGTGGTATACATGTGCAGGCAGGCTCTTGGGCTAACACAAGTGTGAATTCAATGTTTTCTGGAAGTTAAATCTTTGAATGAGCCTTTTGATATTGTACAGACTTGCAAGATATAATAAGCTCGACATCTTAGCTAAGTTTTTCATTTCAAAGATATTTTTGGGCAGAATCCATTTTTCTGAAAATTCCTGTATAATAATATGTTCTTCAGACCAAAGTTTCCTGGAATATATTCATTGTTACAATAGTTATACTTTTTGTGTCGCCCTGTATTTCAAGTTGTTGAAACGGTAAATACACAAAAACAGCCAAAGACTGGGAAAAGAATAGAATCTAAATTAGGCTAATGGTATTTAGGTTTTGCTTTTCATAATACCACAGATATACATTTCCCTAGGCGTAAACAAGTATGCTGTATTTCAATTGCTTTAACATATTTTTCTCTTATATAAAAAGTAAATAAAAACAAAGGATGAAACATCCCAAAGAATTATCGTCTCGATATATTAATATTCAGAGGAAATTTCGACATACCATACACTGCCAATGCGCAAAGAGCGAGAATAACGAAAGTTCTCATGTCGAGGTTGATGTCTGTCGTCAGGTATACTTTAAAAGAATGATTGGTTTGAATGCAACGTCGACTTATATAGCATTTTCTTATCTCCTCCCACTGTGGTACAATGGTACCGTAACTACCACTCCTGTAGCCGAAAATTAATTATTTTTTTCATTTCAAGTTATTTATCTTTAACAGAAACCTTTACATGAAATGCCAACCAACCCCTCAAAAATATGTAACTTGGTATAAATGTAAGGGTTATGTACCGGGAAGATTTACACCCCAGTCACATTTCCTACGGCGACCTTGCGGTCTATCATTTCTGCGGCCAGTAGCTTTTCTACGCTCGCCGCAGAATTTCTACGCTCTCATACTTTTGCAGTCACATTTCCCACGGCAGCCGCACGGTGAATTTTAAATTTCTATTGATAAATAATAATTTTTTTCATTTTATTTACATCAGGACAATTTATAATTGTTATTCAAAGTGCTAGGATGTAATATGAAATGAAAAGTGATCGTGAAACATTGACAAATAATGATTCAATCTTGTTGAGCCTATTGATTTCTACGGGGACCTCAGAAATGAACAAATATTATAACTCCGAGTTATAATTTCTACGGCGACCCTGCGACCTCTAAAAAACTGGATACGCCACAAGGAGGCCGCAAGGCGAGCGTAATTTTCCTACGCTCGCCGCAGAAATACACTGATTTAATTGATCTGCGGTCGACGCACGCCCTCCGCACGACAAATGTGACTGGGGTGTTAGATGTTGATACCTGGGGATGACATGTACGTATGTATTTATCCTACGACAAGTCAGGTTTCAAGTACATATCATGATGGAAGTCAATGCTCTGAAACACAAATTCTACAAACATCATGTAAATAGTTCGTTCTTTTGCAAATGTTAATTTTATTATACTATATAATTGCATAATATGTATCTCCTAAGAAAATTAGGGCAATGTGCCTTCCTACAGCAAAACTGTCAAAATGGATGCAGTGGAATTTGTCCTATCAAAATGTTGATGAATTTCTCAAAAATTATGAGAATGAGAACACTTTAAAGAAAACAGGCCTGGATATGCATGGTTGTTCTCAAATCCTCACTTGTGAAACCTTGCCATAGGAAAAATTAGTTATGTGATGCTCGGTTTTGAATATGGGTTACATCCCTCGGGAAATATAATATCTATATTTCCCTCAGGATATACCCTATATCCCAAACCTCTCATAACATAACCCTCATATATTCAGAGAACAATTTTGACCCACCGAAATATAAAATTATCTCGAAGGATAAGTCAGGAGTATCCAATTTCTTATACGAAGATCTTTTTATTTCTCTAAAATGAAGGAACGTGATCGGGATGACACAAATATGTTTGTTCAGAACCCCAGATATAGAGGGACAAATACAAAAATATCTACCTCACTCCCTGGATACAATATATATTCTCGCGTTCTATCTACTAAGAATATAATCTCAGTATGAATGAGATACAGCGAATATAGACTTATGTCATCATAGAACGATGATAAAAATAAATAAGAATAAGAAACGAGATCAATAAATCAGAATAATAAATCAGTGACTGCATTATAACACATATCGTACATATTTAGTATGAGATCGATTAATCAGAATTATAAATCAGTTATCGCATTGTAACACATATATGGTACATATAGCGGGATCAGATGTCCAGATATAACCCCTTTTTTGTTCGGCTTTTTCAGGAAAGCAACAAACTTGGCACATTTGTAGAAACATATGATTTGAGTGGAAAATGATTTCAGGGCAAGTGGTTGGGGGTGGTCTTCATGGATTTTTTTACCTCTGACCCCCACCCCTATCAGGTGGGGAGGGGTAAATTATAAAAAATAAATAAAAATGGTTTTAAAGTATTTTTGTTTAAATGACTTCATTTGGTGATTGCTTTGAGCCTTGAAATGATGTAAAACTCATTTTAGAAGTGGTATTTAGTGAGGAAAATACATTTAAACCCAATTATCCAGGAAAAAGTCATTATTTGAAGGGCCAAATATGGGACATCGATTACTGTATTTCAAGAATGTGATGACTAATAGCCTTAAAAAAATTCACAGTAATAGAAGTATAAGTGTTTATTGCAGATAGAAAATATTGCTTTGGTAGCTGATGTATTCTCAGAGAAAAAAAATATCGAAATTTCAATTTTTTGTGCATTTGGCTCAGGGGTAACCTTATCTTACCTCAATAATTTTTAAGATAGTCAATGTATGCATCTCATATGAGCTCAGAATGTTGCTTCTAGTCTTGTTTTGTCATATTATTGCTAATTAGATGTACAAAAAAGATTGGAATCAAAAAAAAATTCAAATTTTCATTTTCGATTCTGAATGGCCAGGGGTAACCATATTGTACCTTAATAATTTTCAAAATATGTAATATATCCATCTCAAATGAGCTCAAAATGGTGCATCTAGTCTTGTTTTGTCATAATATTGCTAATTAGAAGTAAAAAAAGATTGGAATTTTTTTAAATCTAATTTTCATTTTCGCTTCTGAAGGGCCAGGGGTAACCATATTGTACCTTAATAATTTTTAAAATATGTAATATATCCATCTCAAATGAGCTCAATATGGTGCATCTAGTCTTTTTTAATCATATTAACCCTAATAAGATGTAGAAAATGATTGATAATTCTTAAAACTCTAAATTTTCATTTAAGCTTCAGATGGTCCAGGGGTAACCATATTTTAACATAATAATTTTCAAGATATGTAATATATGCATCTCAAATGAGCTCAAAATGGTGCATATAGTCCTGTTTTATCATACCCCAAATAAGATGTAGAAAAATTATTGGACATTTCTTAAAAATCTGAATTTTCTATTTGACCATATTTTTAACATAATAATTACATATTATTACATATGCATCTAAAATGAGCTCAAAGTGGTTCATATACCAGAAGTCTTGTTATCATATTTCCCCTAATAATGTATAAAAACATAATTTGACATTTCTAAATATCTAATATCTAAAAATCTAAATTTTATATTTGAGCTTTTGACAGCCCAGGGGTAACCATACTTAAGATAATAATTTTCAAAGTATGTTACATATATGCATCTCAAATGAGCTTGAAATGGTGTATGTAATCTAGTTTTGTCAAACCATTTCTAAGGAGATGGAAAAAATGATCAGATTTCGATTTAGCTTTTGACTGGTTATAGGTGGCCTCATTTTACCATAATAATTTTCAAGATATGTCACATTTGCAACTTAAATAAGCTCAAAATGGCATTTTGTCATATTCATATGTTCATATATTCATACTGAGATATAAAATGATAAATCAATGAAGTATTATATAAAGATATTAGGTTAAAGAACACTTGCATCACCTCTGGGTACACCTTCCATTCCTCCAAATCAGATGATTTAGAGTAGTAGTTAAATGCAGATGTGACATCGCATAGAATGATTGAATGAAAAATGGGGAGGACTAAACTTTGGTCATGGCCAATTGATCTTGCAATATCATGCACAGATAGTTATTGAATGGATTTTCTTTTACCAAATGCAATCCAAGATGTAGTGGGAACAAGAGGGAGCTGTCCTCCTTCCAGGCATCAACACTGAAACCCTCAAGAACATGGCAAGATGATATTGACCAAGTAATGCAATGTCTTAGGCGCCATCAAGGATATTTCTCCATACGAGAGACTGCTTCAATCATTGCCTAACAATTGATTTTGATGTAGTAAAACTGAAAATGTCAATTTGGATTGCATATGGTAAGGGGAAATCCTTCCAATATCTACCTGCCCACAATATTACAAGACCACTTGGCCATGACCAAAGTTTAGCCCTCCCAATTTTTCATGCAATCAATGGATTTGATATGTCACCTTTGCATTCTACTACTTCTCTAAATCATCTGATTTGAAGGAATGGAAGGTGTATACCCGGAGCTATTGCAGTTGTTTTTAAACTTTGAATATTTTTTTAGAAACATTGCAGTTGTAGAGTCATTTGTTATTCTGATGCATTCTAACCCACAGTTTCTATCACCACATGAATGTGGTTGGACTTCTCCCACTGCTGATACTGGGGCCACAACATATGAAAATGTAGGTCCTATGAGGCGGATATCTGTATAATAACAAAAGATGTTGCATCCGAGGCATGCAAAAAACTTGTTTGATGTTTAAGGAGTGTTGAGGGAACATATGCAAATGTTTGAAATCATATCTCATTTGCTCTCGGCTATGTAGCCATAGGGGAGACTGTCAGAATCTATAAATCCTGACCTGTTTGATTATGTTTTATGGATTTGGATTATATTTTCATATGATTATACATAGAATCTTAACAATGCTACTACTCAGTACAAACTGGACTGTCAAACATTTTCAAATCTTAGAAAAGTGCTCAATAAAACTATAGTACAGTATTGAGCTAGTGGTACTAAAAAGGAATAAATGGATGTTGTGATTCTTTATATAAATAAATAAATGGATGTTGAGATTTTTTATAATTTTTTCTTATTTCAGAAGGAATAAATGGCAAAACTTGACTATAATCAACATTTTGAGCTCGTTTGAGTAACAAGTGTGATATATCTTTATTTAAATTATTACGGAAAAATGGCATCAAAAGCTAAGGCCGTAAGAATTAGATTCTTTGTTTTGCTTCCCCTTGCTTGCATGATTTTGACTAAATCAGAAAAAAACAAACACATCCAAATAGCAACCACAAGGGTCTGAAAGTAACATCGCATTTCATTCAATCAGAATCAGACGAAATGGCGGATAAATTGATGTGCGTCAAAATTGACAGTGTTATTGATTACTTAGGCATACATTTTTTTATTTTTACCCTTGAATAATACCTATATTTGAATATATTGTATAAACGTATAGATCTGTGTTTGTATCACTGCAAATTGGTATGTCATTCCTTTTAATGCCCATAAAATGTATACATTTCTCAGCAAACAAGTTTGTGTTTTTTTTGAGTTTGTGTTTGTTTCCTTATACCCT